TTAGTACCTAATCTATTTACTTTTATCTCGACTATTATGGATCTTACACAACCACCATTATTGTTGCCTACTTATTTCTGGTTCTCAATTTTCAACCAACTATCTTAATAAAATCACCGTATAACGCTGATAATAAGATTGGTCGTATCTACTTATAACAATAATGTATGAGTTTTGAAGTTAATAACTTTGAAATACCATTATTCGTTAATTACAATAAAATAATTTTTTTTACGTTTTTGCCAAATTTATAAGCTATCCAAACATGCATATATTGATAAATAATTATTCATACACATTACAAACATTTAGTCTCATTGGAATTAATACCAGTATCGTAAATGCCGAAGTTACATCTAAAATATAATTTTGGATGTCACTATAAGAAAAATAAAACTATCAGGAGTGTACATTTTAAAATGTTTAAACATAATATATAACAATGAACATTTTGAATAACATACTTTCGATAAGTAGGTTTCTTCAATCAAATCACTAACATTCAATAAGCATTAATGCATTTCATGCTTATTAGTTATTTGTGTAATGTTTATACTCAATCTATATTGTATATGATTTTAAAATAATACTTAATATAATTGTTCTAAAATTAAAATTGTTGCTATCATAATTATCAAAAAATTGATATTCGTGAAAAATACTGTTTATAAAAATTATTTAGAAATTTTACAAATAAGTGTCTATATTTTTTTTTTCACTAAATCACAATAATTACAGTTTTTCTGTTATTATTATTATATTGGCCTTAGAGAATGAAAACAAACGTATTAAATTATATAGTATTTTAGTTATTTTTGCTATAAACGTAATAGTATGCTTTACTAAAATTAGGTAAAAATAAAAATAAAACAGTGAATTATAAAAATCACTAGAGTTTATTATAGAAGTTTCCTGTTTAATTAATAATTCATTTTGTTTTTTATATTTATAGACTTGTGTACTTAATGACACACAACATTTAAAACTTATAGTAGATGATATTTAAAGAAAAATCTAATCCCTGTTAAGTATTAATTAATAATTAAACTACACTAAAAAATAAAATAAATACATAAATATTTTATTTTTGGAATGATTTTTCAGTACTAATAAAACCTAAAAAATGGTGGAAGTATTACCTAGTATTACCTAAGGTGGGTCAGTAAATAGTAAATTGTATTATATATTTAAACTGCTATTATAGTAGTTTATTTTACGTTCCAGTAAGAACTACTCAGTAGTTCTATGAGAAACTCTCTAGCCTTAGTTATAAAAATTGAAAACTGTATACATTTTTAACTACAAAATATTTTAAAAATTATCGGGATATTGCCAAATTTTGACAAACTTAAAATTTAAAACTTTTTTTCTTTCTCTCATTCAAAAATTAATGGGAATATATTTTAATGTTGACCTTCTACAAGTATCTACCTTTTAAAACCAATTTACTATCCTATACATTTTTTTAAGTTATTGGTAGCTTCATTGGAAATTTACAAAAAAATAACATATTATAAAATCAATACTTATATTCATCGTTCCGCTCGGAATCGAAAATATGTTTTTAGTTAAAAATTTAATTTATTGAATATTGTATACTAAAATTAGGTATGGGGAATATTCATAACATAGACTACCAATGAATAAGAATAAAAGTACACATAGAAATATTTGATATTTATTATCGTTCAATTCAAAATTGAATTTAAATAAGTTGTATGGTAAAAATCGTCTAAACTAATAATTATTGACAAAATGTGTATTTAAGATGTTAATAATATTGAATAAAAAATATGTTGTACATACTTACAAACATTTGAAACATAAATTGTGTTTATTCTACATTAAATTTCCATTTAAAAATATTTATACTGTATTTTATTCCGAATGCAGTAACTTTAACTTAAAAAATAAATTTTTAGCTATACTTTAAAGATTAAACATTGGATTTACTTCTGGTTTTTTAAATTATCGAATTTGAATTAAAGTGGTACGGATAAATTTAGGTTGGCAAGTCAAAGGGCTTTCCATGTCAGTCTAGATACGTACAAAATAAAGACTTTATACTTTATATTCACATCAATTACGGATTCCCTGGTGCTCTCTTATTACTTTAACTTATTTTTCAGACATATTTATTTATTTTATTTTATTTATTTAATATTTATAATTAGCGCTTAATGGCTTTTTAAAATATAGCATAATAGAAACAAGAAACACAATGGTAAAACATAAAAACAGTTAACAACTTATGAAACACTATCTTATACTAACTCAACTCATAATAATCTGAAAAACTTAATTGACAAGGGAAAAAAACAAGACAAAGAATGAAAGAAATCTGTAAAAAAGTGGTCTTCCGTACTAGAACAGCTAAAATATAAGGTTAATACTCAATAGAGTTATTTAAATTGTGAATTATTCTTAGAAGTGGGGCATTCCTGGAGAAGTTAGATTTATTAGTAGACGTATAGAAAGTACTCTGAGGCCTAGTGTTACTAGGAATACGAAAACTAAGTTCTCCATGAATCCTCGTTGCATCAACTCGACCTTAAAGCAGACGCTGAGTAATTATTATTATATAAAGACGCTATAGTAATATATATTATTTGATTCAAATAATACCGCAATGCAAGTAAAAATTTAAATAATTATTTTAAAGTAGCAAAAAACGACGAATTTCATATAGATTGTAAATTATTATTCAATGTGAAAGGAAATATAAACGGAAAAAAGTAAATATTTCAAAAAATTAAATTTAAGGACATATTATATAGTGTACCTACTTAATTCAACATCTTGTAAGTCAATATAAACATTAATTCGTTAACTGTACCTACTTAGTGTATAAACACAATACCATATTATGTTTAACAGCCGTGACATTTATTATTCTTTTCAAGCTGGCAGAGAAGTAAATTCGTAGTACCTTTACGTAATCTCAATTACTTTATCTGACTTTGACTCTCAAAGTCTCAACATCGAATTGATATGGTTGTGAATTAAAAGTTCACCGCAAAGTTCGATGGTTATAAAAATTAATATCACTAAGCTACAAAATATGTATATAACTACTTTGCGTGTTAGGATATGGTATTCCGAATGGAAATATAATATAATATAGTATAATATAACCCGCAATCATTCTGGAAAAAATGAACAGTCAGTTCATGGGAAAATCAGCGTCGGTGAACAAATTCTAAAATAATCTTTACGAACTAATTCGAATGAGATGGGAGATAGCACTTGGTATATTTTCTAAAGTGGTCAAAACTATCCTCTACGCTGATCAGCTCTCTAAGAACAGTCTCTAAAATCGTTGTAAAAATCAGTCGAGTAGCTTAATTACATTAATTTTAATATAATTATATTATATTATAGTGATTAGATAATGTGTATTTAATTTTTTGTAACCAATTTAACCCTATATAGTATAATATACCTAGTATTGGTATACAAATAAAAAAAATATTCGATTTCCGTGAATCAAAACCAAATTCCCGTGTGAGTCAAGTATAGCTATTTGGGTCAAAAAGCTATAAGCACTAGCCGAGTCTCGATTAAAATGCTTGCAAAATTTGGTGTCGATGGGTTCTATGAAGTTTCCGAAATTTCCGGCAACAACTAACATATGCATAATCATTTTTATATAATATAAATAAGAAGATATTATATACGTATAATACAATATACAGTTCTGGTACGTTTAAAGATTATGAAAAATGACTTTCAAAGAAGTTTACCTGTCACCAGGTATGGGGTACGGGGTATATTTGCGATTTGGCGATTGACATTTCTCATGAAATCGTCCAACAGTCATTGAACAAATGTACGTTAAAAACATACAATCCCCTGTTGTGCCGTTCTGCGAGAAAAATTCATTCCAAGTTTTTTATGATAACATTTTATTCGGACAATTCTGCCACATACCTCTATACAACCATAGTGGTAAAAAACACGATATTTTTTCGAGAGAGGTTTTTTTCATCGTTAAATCGGTGTACGTCCAAAACACCCGTATTCCAGTATAAAAAACCAGAATGCCACGCAATAGTCACACACACTTAACTCACATACAGTGAAACATTTTTTTTTAGCGGCCGTTTGAGCATATTGTTGAAAACAGACGAATCGCGTATTGACGGGGTGCAACTAGTTGCAAACCCATCGTAGCCGCGTCATTAACAGACAACGCAGTCTTTTTCCCGGCTCGAGGGTCAAAATCAACAGTTGTAAAGTATAGTATGAAAAAAGCTGCTGTGCGGTGAAAAATGGAAAAATAACACACCAAATGTATAGTAAATAATAATCTGCATCGGTATAATAGCTATTTACTAACAGTGCAGAGAAAAGAAGGAATAATGGTAGTAAAAAAGTCGGTTAATGTAGGATGGTATTCATTTTTCAAGTATTATATTAATATTATGTCTATTACAATCACGATAATCCGAATTTAGTTAGGTACAACTTACTAGTTTTAAAACCAATGGGACGATTGGACGAACGCATAGCGGCATAATATTAATCGAACAATAGTAAATTATGGTTTCATTATTTTTTTACACGACAGAATACCTGAATACGCCTTTCTCGCATAATATTATTATTTATTATTACGCATAAGGAATAATAATATTATTTATTTAATAGAGAAAGTATAAAACAGTTAAAAACCGAATTTTTATTATGAAGTCGAAATAGGGAGGATATCATATAGTTTATTATTAAGAATTACTTCGTTAAAACTATAGGTGCACTTGTTTAAGTTTCTTGGACATTTTCTTCGGTTTATTTAGTATAGTCGCTGCTTGTAATTGGGAAAAATAGTAAATACACTCGGGAATTCTAAAAAACGACCTCTTTAACCCGCGGGTTTCCATAAGCTAGATGCGCGTCTTATACTGAACAATATTACGAGGAGGAGCACTCGTAGCCTTCGGTGTTATATATTACCACTGAAGTGAACCGACGAAAACGTCTGCTGGAAAATGAAAAAAAAAATGAAATTGAAACACTACGCAACACTGACCTGCAATGATCAGGTAGACGATGAGCAGATACGGGAGTATTCCCATGTCCCATTCAGCGGCGGCGGCGGCGGTTGCGGTGGCGCGCGCGACCCGTCCTCGTCGTCGACGTCCGGTCTCCTATCAACAACAGGACGCGTTGTGGCCAACAACGATCATTGGCTCATTTTGACGTCCGTCGTCCTGTCTTCGCTGACGGCCGTATACCAGCTGCTGGTCGCCGAGTCTGTCGCCTGTGTTGTGGCGCCGATGAGTATCCGTGGGACGGTGGCCGACCGTCGCGTCCATTTCAACGGTGGTGGCGGTGGACCGGAACAGTGCCGTTCGTGGTCGGTGTGGCACGTGCCGGAAAAAAACAGAGACGCCAAAACCTCGCAGCGGCCCTGCAGAGAGCGGTGGCAGCGAGCGTCCGCAACCCTTCAACGGATGGGAGCCAGTTCCTGAGGTGAAGGAAGCTAGTGTGATACGACGGCAGGCGATGACGACGATGTATCGTCCACGGAAACGAAGTAATATATTTTTATGGGATGCCCGTATAATAATAATAATAATATTATATTGATGAGCTGTTTTCGTTGCGGTATTGCGACAGCGGTAACCGCGGTACGACTGTGTACGAAAACCTGTCCCTATGTACTCGGCGGAACGTCTTTGGCGCGCGCCGCCACACACACACAGACACCCACACACGCACGCACGCGCGAGCTTTTTATCTCTCTCTCTCTCTCTCTCTCTCTCTTTCACACGCACACGCTCATACACACCCACACACGCACACACACACGCGCGTCCAAACTCGCCACTACCACAATACTGCCGTTCCAACCGCCGGCTGGCTGCTCCCAACGCTGGTCCTGCCGCTGCTGCCGTCGCTGTCGGTGGTGCTGATGGTGCGTGCCGCTAGCTTTCGCCCTGCCGTCAAGCGACCGTACGAGCGCGCGCGCGCGCAATTCTCCGCGGCGGTCCAGACCCCGCCCCGTACCGCCCGCGTATACTACCTCTATATTTGCTCGCCGTAAGCGCGCGCCCGTTTTCGCCGTTTCTGCCCGGGCGGCGCGTGCACCACCGCGTTTCGTATTACGCCGGGTGGCGGGATGACGAAGGCTACGGCTACAGCTACGGTGGTGGCGGTGGCGGCGACGACGACGACGACGACGACGCGCGCGCTGGCTATCTGCTGTGTTAGCGCGCGCACACACGCACACACACACACATACACACACACACACACACACACACACACACACACACACACACACACACACACACACACACACACACACACACACACACACACACACACACACACACACACACACACACACGTACACTCACGCACACTGCCGTTGTCGCTATATCGCCTTCGACTCGTCCCGTGGACCAGCAGGCTATGTATCTGGCACTCTCGCGCTACTCGTCGCGATTCCGGACGGTGCATGCGCCAAAGCCCCCGGTCAGAATGCCGCACACCCGCGCCAAATACGATAATTACCATCACACACACACACACACACACACATATGTATCACCGCGAGAGTAACAGAGTGAGGAAGGGTGATAGAGAGAGGGAAAGAGAGAGATAGGGAGACTGTGAGAGTGATAGTGATAGAGAGATAGAGAGTAAGAGAGAGAGTGAGAGAGAGGCGAGGGAAAACTTTTCTGTGGAATATTTTCCGAATGTGTATGCGTGTGTCGGTCAAAGGGGTTAGGGTAACGAAGGTGGTAGCTATAGCGGCGTTGACGACGGAATGTAGCACAGCATATATACGCATTAAACGACCCCGAAATTATTTTACGCGTATACCACCACAGCATTGGTCGCGCAAAGCCCGGCTACGAAGGCATATATAAATGTATAACATGCATCATGTAGTAGGTGTAATATAATTTATATTTTATGTACGGGCGCTCACTCCGAACTGAACATTATAACATTATTTTATAGCATAACTGGTTTGGTAAACTGTTGCTGCAATATTATATAAATGCAGCTACAATTATAATAATAATAATAATATGCGTCCTTAGACTGTTATCACAAGTAGGTTAGGCACCTAGATATTAACATAGGTATACTTATAAAAGTAACTCGAGAGTCGGGACGAACCCATAGTTTATTAGGTATATGTACTATACTTACGGTAAATTAATACTTGATAATGATTGAAAAAATATGTGAAAAACGTAGCACACAAAGTACCTACTTGATGTTTTTCCTCTGCAAGGAAAATCTACACGAATCTTAAATAATACGTTTTAGGGAGGAGGGACATTGCACTTTGTCTATAAACTATTGTTTGAAAAATGCCAATTACAAACTGACTTTTATTCATATAATTTTATTAATGTGCATTGTAGACAATATCATACCTAGAAGTATTATTGGTATCAATAATATTATCACAACAACAACCATGGTAACAATAATACATTTTATACCTATCTACTATAAATTAACCATAATATTATAATATGATAAAGATTAGAAAATATTTAAAAAAATAAAATAACACTCCCAAGTCTAGAGGGCTGCTAGATTACTGAACACATGCCATTTAAACGTCACGTCCGTCGCGTAGCCCTCGATATCGCTTATTTATAATACGACCAGATCGCCCGGCAAGTGGCAACCGGTGTTGATAGACGACACGTCTTCCCCGGGGGAAACTTTGTCCACAGCGGTCGACGGCGATAGGAGCTTTGACGTGATATTGGATTGTTTGGCGCCGTCGTCTCGGTCCTCACGTGCGTTAGGCCGCCGCTGTTTCATTTTGAATTTATTTTATTTTTACGATAAATACACAATAGTATTATAACAGTATAGTTTGGCTTCGTATCGTTTCTGCACTGTTGCGAGATTACAATAACAACATGCCTCCGCGCTCGCTGCCATTTTACGCTACCAAATCATAAAAAAAAAATAACATTACATTATTATATTGTCATCATCATCGGGGTAAGACGAGAGTTTCGTTAAGTGTTTTATTCGTCATAATTGGCTATCTATGGTGTGCAGCTGATGTAATCGTGTAGAACAAGTTTTCATTATCATTATTACTAAGGTATTCAATTAGTTTTAAGCAAAACTTTAGATAACTTATACGGTATACACTCATAACACAACGTCAATAAATTGATTTTATTCACACCTAGCTCTGCTGCAGGTAGGTACCGTCTATAAAAATGGAAGAATCGTGATAATATTATATGAGTGTAATAACGTTTACCAAATTAGTTAATGCAAATTTATCGAACATTTCGTTATGTTATTAATAAAATTGATTTGATTTGATAATAATTTTATTTCACTTAATATCCTTGGTGCGCATTCGGAAATTTGATATTTTGAGCTGCGTGATGCGTGTGTGTGTGTGTGTGTGTGTGTGTGTGTGTGTACATCTATGACGTCATAATTTTTGCATATGCATGATAGGTATTTAGTTTTAATCAGATTGGTTTTAATGGGACTTGCCATCATTAAATCTACAGCTATCGCTCGAAAGTAAAATACCTTCTGTACCTACCACTATATGGGTTTATTATGAGAATCATTACGAATCAGGTAATTTACCATCTGAAAAAATGGAAAATTAGATAACTGGAGTATCTCAGTGAGTATTTTACGGGGTTTGTTATTTGAGATCGTCATTCGGAAAAGTTTGGTCGCTGGTCGTTATAAAATGCAAGTTTATATAGATGAATATTTTTGTGAATATAAAAAATATATATTTTCTGAAAATTTTTTTGTTTTTCTTACTTTTTTCTGTCTTATCTTCCCTTGGAATCACAAATACATATTCTTGAAAGTTAAAAAAAAATCATGAAATATACTATTACAACCGGAAAACAAGATCTCGGAAAAAAAAAAATGAATTATATAAAAAAAACATGTGCATTCTGGCATATCTTAGAATTGATAAATATAACATAATTCTTTTAATTATTGTAATAATACAATGAAATCATATAATAAGACTTCTTAAATAATTAATTATTGTAATGATATTGTTCCTTTTTTGATAAATTCCTAACTGTATTAATTATTATAACTTATAAATTTCTCCATTTTAGGTTTATAATTTTTTTTTTCATCTGTATCATTTGTTTGAAATAACTACAGTAATTATTAAAACAATCGAAATGTATTCAATTGAGTTAAAATAATTAGTTCACAATAATTACTATTATCTGCAGTAATATTTAATAAATACAATTTTCTAATGTTATAATTATACTTAAAAAGAGGCTTGGCGTGGCGCGATGGTTACAATCGATCACAAAACGTGATCTAAGTGTAAGTACCGGCTTATTTAACCGTGCCATTAGGTTCTTAGTGAAAAATTCTTGCCACACATACACATATGAGTCTAAATCCAACCGTACCCTCCCACACAGTAAAAGGCTAATGACCTCAGTTGTAAAAGCCTTAAATAAATAATAATATTAAAAAAAAATACTTAATAAATTGAAAAATAAATAAATTTACCATATTATTGTTTTATAGTATCATAATTTGATGAGACATAGAGTTCGTTTTTACTGAATTTAATAAGAAACGAACATTTTGTGTTTTGTTGATTGTTATTATGTCAAATTTTATGTATTTGTTCTATGGTGTTGTTGTTTTTTTCATTTTATCAATTTTCGCGAAAAGTTTTTAGGTAGAGAAGTACTCAAAAAGTTTCATATAACATGTTTATAGATAATAAATCTAGTCTAGATATTACTTTTAAAAGGATATTTTTGGAGTTTTTTTCTCAAAGTAACTCTTAACGAAGCGAAAAACTACCAATCGCTGTCAGATAATTTTTAAAAAATGTCAGTATATTAGATTTTTACCATGGATCGTTCGGAATCATTTTTTTTAATTCTATAATATATTATTGTTTATAAATTTTACACCAAAACATACCAGAATTCTTCACTGAGACGAGTTAAATACCCGGAAACTGTGTCCCATCTGTCATTTTTATCGATTTTCTTAATGTTTTGTTCATAATGCATCGTATACACTTTTGTATGATTTTTAGTTCTCCCTTCCGAGTCATTAAGTGCACGACAAAAAAATAAAAGCTTAATATGCAAATCGTAGTTTTATGGAATCATATTTGAAACATAACCAATTTTTAATCGTATGAAATGTATTGCACGAAACACAACTTTTTTAAAAATATAATTTTCAAATATGTTTTCTGCTGAAAATGAATCCAAGTAATATTGTTGGAAATTATGTAATGTAATTTTTTTTGGCCAAAGCAAAACAAAATCATTATAAAAAAATTTTTATTAGATCAAAAAAAAATATATGCAAAAGTTTTTTAAGCATAATAGTATAAAGCTTGTAGCTATGTAGAGGTACACTCGTAGAATATTAAAATTACAGTTTGGGCAGTATTTTTTTTTAATATGGAAACTATAGAAACCGATTAGATTTCCAAAACCAA